GGCCAATCAGCGCTCCGTGTTGCCACTCACCCACCCGGGCAGCTGCAGATGGGCGAGCGAGAAAAGCGGCTGCAGGAACAGAAGGCCGCGACAGGAGCGCGCCCAGTTCACTCCCGCGTGGAAAACATTTGCAAGGAGACTGCGGGGGGGGGCACACCTGTGGTGCCTATCAAGCTCACGGGGCCCGCCCTCTTAAACCCAGAAAAGCAGAAAACAAGGGCTGGGAGGGACAGAGACCATCCAGCGCAGCCCTCCGGGTGAAGTTACGATTACGGACAAACCCTTCCCTAAGCAGCCGCCGCTGAAGGATACGGATTGCTGAACATCCGCTTCAGGTCCACCTTCTCCTTGCAGTAGGGACAGGTCTGCTTCTTCCCCACGATGCACCAGCCCCGGATGCAGAACTCATGGAAGCTGGGAGGGCAACGAGTCAAGGAGCAAACGAACGTGCGCAGAGTCCAGGAGCGAGCGGCGGCTTTAGTCAAACCAGACGTGCCCCCGCCACCTTGGAGGCGCCCCGTGGAGGCCATGCAGCGGAACCAGGGAGACCAGCTGGGACAACCAACGTTACAGAGACACGGACAGCTCAGGATCTCCCGGGGGTCTTTTAGATTTGACCACCAGGAGGAGGAGGAGGAGGAGGAGGAGGAGGAAGCACATATCCTGCCTCTGAAAGGCATCTGGAAGTGAGCTGTGCCGGCCCCTGCGTCCCCATGGGAAGCTGACCGTGCTGCCTCCGGCACGTGACGGTCACGGGATGTGGGTTCAAGGCACGACAAAACATTGGTGTAGGACAGAGAAGCACACTGGGGCCTTGTGCGGTAGCCCTCGAGCCCCACCGACCTGCTGGAGGACAGGCACTGCCCTCCGCCTGGCAGTTCCCGAGGAGCGCCCGGGTGTCCCTTCTGGCTCCTCTTTCCCGCTCCGTGGCCACAATCCCATGCACTCCTCCCATGCACCTGGGGAGGGCGGCCCCGCTGCGTACTCCCCGGGCCACTGTCCCCGAGCAGCACGCCTGGGACCCCCAGCTGCACAGAGACGGGCCTCGGGCAGAGGGGCCGGCGGCCTCCCCGGGGTCCTTGGGGCTAGCAGACTGCAGCCTTCCCTACACCGTAACCCTATCACCTTGCTGCACCCCTCACGGGTCAGGCTGGGGACTACAACTCCCATACTCTGCAGGCATCGGGTGCTACAGGTCAGCACAGGCAGAGACCCCCGGATTGGGAAGGGCCAGCATAGGCTTCCAAAGGCTTCATCAAAGCAAACGTTGCCACATTTACGTCAAACCCCAAAAATAACCGTACGGGGATGGGGATGGGAGGCCGCCCTCGCCCCTCCTTAGGAACCATTTCCTTTTATTATTGTTTTGCTTCCCCGGGATTCACTCTGGGGTGAGGCTGGGGTTACTCTGATGCTCACGCCGGATGACTCAACAACGGTTGCACGGATTGGGTCTCTCCTTCCTCCGGAAGCCAGTTCTTTTGAAGAAGTGTGATGTCAGACTGAAAGCAAAGGGGGCAACTGACTCACCCCTCCTTTGACACAGAAGCACCACGGGCGGGGGGGCAGCTAGGAACCCCCGGCCGTGCTGCAAAACGCTGCGCACGGTGAGTCGTCGGCCTCACATTTCCACTTAAACGCTTCAGAGTTGACCGATTGCTCGAAGATCCCCAGCGAGCCTTAAAACAGGAAGCGCTGGGTCTCCCCACAAGCAGAGGGAAGACCGTACACCTTATGCACAGACACACACGCGCACACACCCATCCTGGTTAGCCCCCGCTGGGAGGCCGATGCTCTGCGAAAAAGGCCACCTCACGGACACAGGTCTTTGCCCGCAAGATTGGCTTCGCGCGCGGGCCGTGTTAGCCGCGGTTCCGAAGGTCAACGGCCTGGGATCCGAGCAGCGCCCGGGCCAGGCCCACGGACCAAGAGCCGGGCCAGGCCCACGGTCCAACTCGGGTCCAACTCGGAAGACACCGTCTTCGCAGCGCAGGGCCCCATCCTGGCGGAGTCAGGGCCGCGCTTCCACAAGACGCTCAGGGAGGCCTTTCGCTTGAGCGACTGAGCCCGCTGCGGCCGGTTAGTGGACTTGCTGCTCCGCCTGGGCGGAGGGGCCACACCAGTTGCACAGGAGGGCTCCGAGCAGCGCCTGCCCTCTCCCCAAGGACGCACTTCCTACTGCTCTGGCCCGGGGGCAGAAGGATGACGCGAAGGGCCTGCCCACTTCCTGGGGACCCAGAGGCTCAATCCCACCCCAGATAACCACAAGATGAAGCCTCCGTCACCCGTCAGGCCTGCCCAGCTGGGTCTGACTCTGTGAATCCAGCAGCTTCATCCTCCTGCGGCACCGCAAGTCCTCCCCAGCACCCTGCTAAGCGTTCTTCTGGCCCATCCTGCCCCAACAGGTCGCTCTGAAAAGGGACACGAGGGAGAAATCCGAGGAGGCCACCCGAGGAGAGAACATACAGCTCTTCAGCCCCTCTCTTCTACCCCGGCGGCGCTCCAGGCATCTCTTCTGCCACTTCGCCAGGAGCCCCTTAGAAAAGCGAGGAGCTCCCCTGGACCAGTGAGCAAGAAGAGGCCGCTCCTGCCACGTGCCAGCAAGCAACCCAAGTCTTGGCACCCAGGGTTTTGGGGGAGAGCCCAGCGCCCTCTGGAAACCACACAGATCCAGTAGATGCCTGAGATGGGCTGATTGAGTACAGGTAGCCCTTGCTTAACGACCATTTGTTCAGTGACTGTTCGAAATTACGACAGTGCTGAAAAAATGGACTTATGACCCATGCCCAAAGTTACGACCGTTGCAGCGCCCCCGCAGTCACGTGATTGAAATTTGGGCGCTTGGCAGCCCGCCCACACTTACGACCACCGGGGTGTTGCAACTCCCCCACCCACCTATCTCTCCCTCCCCTTCTATGCCCTTTTGGCTGCCCTGCAGGGTGGCACTCGGTGGTGGCAGTGCCGGGGCTGAAGTAGAGGCCCGGGGCCTTAGGTAGTCTCAGCCAGCTGCCACTGCTCCCCAGGTTTCTTACTGCAGCCCCAGCGCTGCCGCTGCCACTGAGAAATGCTGCCTCAAGCCCCACACCGTGGCCAGCCATCCCAGCACCACTGTGCAAAGCTCCAGTTGCCCCCGCTGCCCTGCATTCCACAGGCTCTGCCACACCCAGCTGACCTTTGCCAGTTTCCTCTGGCCACTGACAAGGCATGCCCAGCCTGACCCTACCAGATGTGAGGCAGCCACTGGCCTGGCCTTCTTCCCAAGGCCACTCATGCCATTCTTTCTCCAAACCGTGCACCCTGTTCTCACGTTCCTTTGGAAAGCTTCTGGTCTTCCCAGGTCTTGTGAGAATGGGCATGTGATTTGGAGAATGAGGTCTTACAAATCCCTGTGAGAACGGAGCTCCTGCCGTTCTCCAAATAGCGTTTCCGCTTTCACCCAGAACCACAAGTCTGGGAAACTCCAACAGCACCCCAGAGATGAGGAGCAGGTGCTCAGGAAGAACACTCCCGTGAGCCGAAGGGGCAGGACCAAAGCATCACCCCCAGCCCAACCTCAGAAACAGAGCCTCAGGCCCAGCCCTCTGGGGACAGAGCCTCCCACATCACACCTGCCAGGCCTCCTCTCCTGCCTCAGGCGCCCTCCTCCTGTTATCTCCCTCTGCCCCTCACGGCGGCCCTGGTTTCCATCCTTTCTCCTGTCCAACCCCAGTTCCTACCACCCCCGACCCTGGAAGGTTCTGCCTGAGGGGGTCATTCCCCCCACTCTGAAACTCCGCCCCCCCCATTACCCTCACCACCACCGTCATCAAACCACTTTCAACCAGTGACCACTTGATGGCCCGGCCAGTAACCAGCCTCGCCATCTTCATCCTTTATCCCAGGGTGGCTGCCCTGGGCGGGGGATCAGACCAGAAGACCCCCAGGGTCCCTTCCCTTTTCCCAGAGCCCCTGCTGTCACCTGGGACTGGCAGACAAGATCACCCAGCCTCTCCCATCGGGGTTCCTGTTCCAATAGCCCTCTCTGGTGCTCACCGCTGGTGGGGGGTGGGCTGCTGTCCCTTCTTCCTAACCCAAATCCCACAATTCAACAATGCCCTTTTATCACCTTCTGACTCCTACAGTGGGAACTCAGAGAGTGGACTGAATTTCTTCTAGGTTAGGCTGTGGTATGAACGCAGGCTGTGGGCGGGGGGGGGCGGGAGTGGGTATGAACACAAACACCCCCCCTGAAAGCAGCCCCCCGTTCCTCCCTCCCTCATTTCTGCCAGGAACGTGAGGGGCCACGAGGAGCTCCTGTCCTGCTGAAGGATACACGTGATTGCAAGAGAGTCTGTAGGTGTTTTCGATGATCCCTTCTTCGTTCACATCGACAAAGATCTGCTGCCCGCAGACGGCACAGACGCTGTCCGAGAGGTGCTTGGTGGGCATGCCAGAGGCGCTGTAAAACTGCACAAGGTGAGAAGGGCAGGGATCCAAGGGACACAGAGAGCCAGGGTGACTTTCAGGCTCTTGGAGGGCCCCCTTACTCCAACGTCCCCAGGTCCCTCTTCCTGGGGAAGCATCGCAGTGCACAGAAGGGAAAGGATTCTTGAACTGTGGATCCCATAAGCCCCAGCTTTAAGCTCTCCCCCACCCCCACAAGGGCCCTGGCTTCGCCCGCTTGATAGGCTGATGTGCCCTGAAGCCAGCCAAGGTTGCACACTCTGCTGAGAGAGCACACGAAGGCTCTTCGGCAGGCATGAACCAGCCCCTCCTCTCTCCCCCTCCAACGTGTCCCTTCCTGCACTGCTCCAAATGCCCCGGGCAGGACACCGCTGACCCTCCTGCAGTGTGGGGCAAAAGGACTGAGGGGGAGGAGGTGGGTCACAGGAGGGTGACAGCAGGAGAAGACAGGCAGAGCAAACAGGAGGCATGCCCCCCCCAAGGAAGACCCCTCACCCCTGCTCCCTCTTTGGAGGCACCAGGCCCTTCCTTGAACGACCCTCACCCTTGGCACAGAAGCTGCTTCCCCTTTGGGGATCTTACCCCGATTGTGGAGGCCATGTAATCTGCACACATTTCGGCAAAGTCGCGCTCCAGGACTCCATAATAGAGGCCGTAGAACAGGAGAGAGATCCCAAAATCCATGCCATCTTCTGGTTTTATTCTGCCACGGGGAAGAGCCTTTAGGACCCTCCATCCGGGCCACGAAGGGCACCCCACCCCAGGCAGGCGCACCTTGAAGCCTGAGCTGGGATTGCGGCTTTCAAGCTGGGGCCACAGTGGCTTGCCAGCCCGGACCCCTGGGGACTCATCTGGCTGAGTGAACGCCTTCCCTGCCAAGCTCCCCTTTGGGGCCATGCGCTAATGAGGCTCGGGAGTCCTCCAAACAGCCCCCAACATTTCACGGGGCAAATGCCAATTCTGGCACAGAGTGGGTATGCTGAATGCCAAAATCTGCTTTCTCCAACTGGATTCTTTCCAGATGAGTTAGCCAAAGGTTCTGAGTTCAAGTCTGAGAAATCTCAGGGCCCCAGGCTGGGAGGAGCTCGGCTGACCCTCTCTTACCAGCACAGGAAATTCCCCACCCCAGCATGCCACAAGGGACACCCTGCTGATACCCGATTACCCGACGCAGCTGCTCCTCACAGGGCAACGCGGTGGGCTGGCCTGCGCTGAGCGCGGTCACGGCACCCTTGGTGGGGCTGTAGCCCTTCCCCTTCTCTAAATGCTTCTTCTGGGCTGGCTTGCCCAGCGAGAGGGCCCCGCTGATTTTCTAACAGCTGCAGCTCATGAAACATTTGAAATATAGGAGGGGAATCAATTTTCCTCACCTGAATAATAAATTAAGTCCAAAGAGGGTGAACATGACAGCCATATAACCAACGATCCCTGTGGCATAGCTGATCTTATATATTAGGAGGAACCACTTGTAAACCAATCTAGTTGTAGGGAGGAAAAACACACGCGCGTGCACAGCTATAAACAGGATGCATTTCTGTTTCTACCACCCTAAGGTTCTACAGCTGAAAACGGTAGTATTGTTTCGATCACAGCTAAACCTTTCCTCTATAAAATAAATCAATGGCATCGTCCCAAAGTTGGAGTCAAATGCTTCCCAGAAAAGCTATATAAATACCCGGTGAAAATGAATATGCATCCACCTGATTTGCAAGCTAAAATAATTCCAACTGAGAGCTGCTCTCTTCAGGAAACAATACAGTTACAGCAAGGCATTTAGAGTTGACTCTACACAGCAATGTAAATAAAAAATGATCTTGGGCAGCTTCCAAATCCAATGAAATAAAATAAACACATAAATGAACGTGGGTTTTGCTGGCTAGAGAGTTTCTTATATCTACACACACACACAGCATAATTAGGACGCTGACCTCTCTGCGTCCTCCCCTGGTTTCAGATGCCGACGTTCTGCAACCGAGCCACCTCTGTCCGGCCACGCTTCAGATGGCCACGAGAGAGAGCAGCCGGTGACTGCAGGATGCCCCTCCTTGTGCAGACCACTCCCTCCACTCTTTCCCAACACCAGCGGGAGTTAAGCCCCACCAATTTAACTATTTTAGAGACTGCATTCACATTATTCCATTAGGACGCGAAACGTTTAGTTGCTAACTAGTAGCCCGTTAGCAAATGAGCATGATTAAAAATACTGAATTAGCCCAAGCCAAAATAGAAAGGGCCTCGTTTGCAGAAGACCCGAGCCTTGCCAGCGCCCAAAGGCCCCTGCAAGCACTGACCCCACCACCCGCAGGACCTCCGCGGCCTTCCTCCAAAGGCACCGGCTCACCTGGGTGTGGTCTGGAAAAGGGGCTTCCGAGTGGCTCGGAAGGTGACGAAAGCCGTGATGGCCGAGAAGAAGATCCAGATGCCCAGGAATCGCCACCAGTGCAGCTTCACCGTGAAGTAGAGGGGGACAACCCACATCTGGAAGAGGGTCACCATCTGCAAGAAGAGAGGGGCTTTAGAGGGGCAGCCCCAACTCTCCCTGGGGAACTGCTACTCGGCGGGAATCCCCGTTCGGCAGTCGCAGCCCTCTCTCCAGACGACCCTGAAAGAACTCCAGCCGCGGGAGCTGCGAATCAGCCCTCCCCAAGCAGCAGCCAGGCAAGCCCAGCCCGGCATCAAACGACACTCAGGCCTAGCAGACGGGGCCACTGACTCATTATTTAGGCCACCGGGTCAATTCACTAAGCCTCCTTGACAGAGGGCGGTCTGGTCTCTGCTTGAACAATGAAAAGAAGACCCCATCTCTGTGGGTCCCAGTTCGGCCCCACGGTCGAACTGCTTCTATCCTTTGCGAGTTTTTCCTGGTGTTCAATCAGGAGCTGTCTTCCTGCAATATTTTCCCCACTATTCTACATCTAAGAAGGCCCTGATGCTGGGAAAGGCGGAAGGAAAGAGAAGAGGATGACCAGCAGCAGGGTGGAGGGACTCAGTTACGGCTAGGGGCAGACTCTCCTGGAAGAATCCTATCTATGTGGTTGCTAAGAGCCGACACTGACTTGATGGCACTAATCAGCAATTAATGGGAAGAAAGAGAAGAAGAGGACGACCAGCAGCAAGAGGGATGGACTCAGTCACAGTTGTGTTGGGGGTTCCCTTGGAGGACCTGAAGGATCAGGTTAGGGGCAGATCATCATGGAGGAGTCTATTTGCTAAAAGTTGATGCGGACTTGATGGCACGTAATCAATCAATTCCATCCATCCATCCATCCATCCATCCATCCATCCATCCATCCATTTCTATTCATGTAAGCCTTACAATCTGTAGAGAAGTCCATAATCCAGGGAAAGGTGGAAGGAAAGAAAGAAGATGACGACCAGCAGCCAGGTGGATAGGCCTGATTATAGAATGGGGAGACCTGAAGGACCAGGTTGGAACAGATTGCCATGGAGAAAATCTATCTACGTGGTTGCTAAGAGTCAACACCAACTTGATGGCATGTAATCAATCAATTCCACATTCGGCATCCTGGAACAAGAGAGCACAGGGCCTGAACATGTTTGGTGCAATATCCTTCAAGGACACCAAAAGCACACTCTTGTCTCGTCAAGGCTACACATTCCCAGTTCTCTTCCAGGCAGGCTTTCTTTCCAGTCCCTGGATCCGCCTTTGTTTCTTGAAAACTAGGCACAACACTCAAGCAGGGCTCTGGTGAATGCAACCTGAAGCCGAACTTTACTCCGCAGGATTTGTAAATTATGCTTCAATTGCGGCAGCCTAAAATAGCACTTGCCTTCTTTGCAGCAATGTCCCATTGCGATCATTTGAATACCCATCATTCTAAGATTATCAATTGATTTATCAATTTGCACAGCTGCCCATCTCAGTAGGCGACTCTGGGAAGCCCCAAGGTCCTTTTCATAAGGATGCTAGCAAGGCAGGAATCTCCCATCCTGTACTTACGGATTTCATTTCTTTGGCCTAATTCAGTGTTGTCCAAACTTGGCCACTTTAAGATGAGTGGACTTCAATTCCCAAAATTCTGGCTGGCTGAGGAATTCTGGGAGTTGAAGTCCACTCATCTTAAAGTGGCCAAGTTTGGACAACACTGGCCTAAATGAACAACCTGGCATTTGTCTTTAAACTTCATTCCTTTATCTTCAGACATGGCTGAAAATGTTATCAAGTTACCTTCCAGTTTCTATCTTCCAAAGTATTAACCTCTCATCCAGTTTAGCATCATCTGCAAATCTGACATGCATTCCTTCAGTTTTCTCATCCAAGTCATGTATTGTCCACTTCTGAAGGTGGTTTTCAAGCCAGCCAGGAATCTGCCAAAACTTCAAGATGTGTGTACTTCAACTCCCAGAATTCCCCAGTCAGCATGCTGGCTAGGTAATTCTGGGAGTTGAAGTCCACACATCTTAAAGTTCCCAAGGTTGAGAAACGCTGAACTAAGCACATTCCCTTACTATCACAATGTTGCAGGCTAATTGCCAAAGGGGCAAGACAGAGCCTGCAAGAGCAGAATCCAAGCCCCGCCCCCTTTAATGTGCATTTTGATATCAAGGGGGAGGGGTTTAATCACACCAGAACCGGCATCTTCCCTATTTTGCCTCACTCGACTGAGGATGCCGCCATCTACAACATTCCCACAATGTATTAGGGAAGTCATGTGAACAAAAAACTGAAGTCAGATTAATTTTTTAAGAACTGTTCTTGACAAACCCATGCTTGATTACTGCATGGTCTTCAAAAAGCTTACAGATCAATACTTTACAATTGGCTCCAGATGTCTGGCTGTGAGAGCTGGACCATAAAGAAGGCTGAGCGCCGAAGAATTGACGTCTTTGAACTGTGGTGCTGGAGAAGACTCTTAAGAGTCCCCTGGACTGCTAGGAGGTCAA